CCGGAGCTGTTTCTTGCTAACTGTTTTGAAAGTGAGGTCCCGAATCTTTTGTTCGTGACCTGTTTTTTATCGATAGGTAACGATTTCATTTGACCCTCACTTGAGGGGAGGCTTCCTAATGGGCTCGTAAAGCTTTGCAAACGATTCCTACTATTCGGCCCATTAATTCAGCTAACGGGCTAAATTCGGGCCCAACAGTAGTCGCACTTTTAAACTCCTCACTAAAGAGAAATCTTTGTATCGTCGACAACATCATAGACTTTGTTCATTTCCTTGACGTTTTTCTCACTTACACAGACAGAAGAACACAATTTCTTGTCCGTGAGCCAGGGGATGTCATGGAAAAACCAAGTGAAGTTGCCTATGACCCCCAAATTATATAAGTAATTTACATAATAAGGTCCCAAACTTTCATAGAAAGAAGAACACAGCTTCTTGTCTGCGAGCCACTGCCTGTCTTTGAAAAACCAAGTGAAACACTGGTTTTATTTTTAGACTGGAAGCAATTAAAAAAATAAGACCTATTGCTGTAGACTGAACATTGAACATGTTATCTACATTTGTACTTTAGCTTTTATTAACCACTAGGCTACTTACTATTTTACCAAAAAATTTGGCTGATAAATTACTTAAACAAAAGAGGCTGGAAGCCCATGCTTCCTTAACTTCTCCTCAAAACCGCTACTGCTATGATCTCAAAATTTACATTAAAAATTTCCAAATTTGCAAAAAAAAAAAAATCTTTAACAAAAATTTACTGAATTGTTTGTAACTTCCACAATTTTCTCTTCAAGTAAGTCCAAAAAATTGCAGTGAGGTCAGTATAAGTAGCAGAGATAGAAAGTATTTTGGAAGGAGACGTATCAATTTTTAATTTAATTATTAGTTTATTAAAATATATTATAAAATATTTAAAATATTAGTTTAATAGGTTTTTATATTATTAATGAATTTTTAAATTTATTTATTTTATTTATTATTAATATGTTCGATGTCGATTCTATGCCTCCGGCTTGGTTCTATGAACCGGCAACGCGTAGTTCTTAGTTTACTCTTTATGATGTTGTCAAAATTTTTTTTATAAATTTATTAAATTATTATTGATTTAAAGTTATTAATTGTTATTCACGAATGATGTACCTATAGTTTAAAATTTTAATGTAGAAATTAAAAATAATCTATTAATTTGAAGCAAAAGAATGCTTTTTTAAAAAGCTAACATTTAGCACAATGATAAATATAAAAAGAATTATAATTCAAAAAAAGTAAAAATGACAGTGTATCACAGCTTTATTAAAAGGAATTATAATTTAAAAACAATCCAAAATACTTTCTATCTCTGCTACTCAAATTGACAAGACCATGAGGAACAGAATCACATCACTTGGTTATCGAGTTGGTCATAAAATGGAGGGTCTCATGAGAGGTTAGTTTGAAGTTACGATCTGATCTTTGAACATCATATATTTCTTTTAGTTATCTCCTGATCTTTCAGTTTGTAGGAGTTAGAAATTGATTTTTTCTTCTTTTTGTAAATGTCTATTCTTTTTCATGATTAATAAATTTGAAATTTTATCAAAAAAAAAAAAAAATCCAACTAACAAATAAAGTAAATTAAAAGTTTTCAAATATTAATTATAACAAATTATGGAAAATGTGAATTTGAATGGGAAAAACTAAACAACCGAAAAAGACAAAAGAAAAAAGACAAATATGACAGGTAGACAAAAGAAAACGAAAATATAATAAAACAGAAAGTGGAAAGGGGCCATTTAGAGAACATGGGTTCAGTGGAGACATGGTGAACCAATTGAACCGCAGAATATAGCATTAAAGTGGCACAAAATTTAATTGTAGTTTTAACTGAACTGCAGAATTATTAGCAAAATATATAGCCCACACCATAACAATGTTTCATACCAATCGGAATTTGACGTACCAATTCATATGCACCTGAGAAAGTGGTACATGCTAAAATATTCTTATGACTTTTATAAATAATCGTTATTTAACATTTTAAATATAAAAAAAAAGTTGACAAAAAGACAAAAATATATATATTTTTTTCTTTTTGTCAACTTTTTTTTTATATTTAAAATGTTAAATAACGATTATTTATAAAAGTCATAAGAATATTTTAATATTTACTATAAAAAAATTATGAGAAGCAACAAAAAAAGGGTTATTGAAAACAATCCAGCTTTATTATATGAATATCTCCACCAAACAAACATCAAGTTTTTAGGTAGAGTTTTGCGCCCTTAATTGTAATGAGGAAAGAATCATAAAAAAGAAAATACTTTTATAGATTGGTATCGGTTACAAGCTGAGTTTTTGTCGAGAATTTCTCACTCTCCACATGAACAAATGACCAATCAATTAATAACTGTAACTAACGACCTTATTCCTTACTTATACCTGAGATTACAAAAACAACGCGTGAGCCAACCACCCATGTGCTTCTGTCCCCAGATCATCATAGTTATTTTTCTCCAAATAAAATAGCCTTCCGAGTACCAACACTCTTGGGCTCAAAAGATGTTCCTCAGCTTTACTCGTCTTGGGCTGCCTTTCCTCTGCGCTTGTAGTGATAGAGCACAGAAGGATGAGTGGCCTCAAAACGTATCAGAATGAGCTTCTACAGCTTTTTGGGAGACTAACTTCTTCAACATATCAATAAGATGATCAAAGTCATCTTGTGATCTGATTAGACTCAGTCTCACAAACCTTTCCTCAGATCCGAACACTTTGCCATCGCGTCCCGTTATCTTGGCCGCTTTGAATATTTCATAGCAGTTTGTGTCTTCTGGTCTTTCACACTTCACCCATGCATAAGCTTTCAAATGGTAATTAAAAAAAAAAAATTAATGCCTCTTTAAACAGAACAATCTCAGTTTTGTTTTTTTTTTTTTATTAAGAAAGACTCTCAGTTATCTTGCATTAGAAGAAACACTTACAAGGAGTAAAGTCTCTGACTTTCTTAAAATAGTTGCAGTACTCAGGTTTAATTTTCTGGAGCAAGAAACGGGTAGACATGGAGAAGACCTTGTGCAATGCCTCCCATCTTTTCTTCAAAGTTTCATGACCAAAATGGAATATATTATCACCTCCATCCCTAACTACAACCTTGAGCAGTTGAAGAACATGAAGCTGTGTTGTCTTAGAAACTCCCATACTACTTAAAGTTATATATCGTTTCATTTCTTCATATACAGCTTTGTCTTTTACCAGTCCCCATCTGAAAAACAAATAACACATGTGAGTGGTTGGGACCAATCCAAATCTTTTGATACATTTTTTTATTTGTTTTTGTTTGCCCAAATTTTTTTTTTTTTTGTTTACCCGAATCTTGAGCCAGCATGACCTGTAGTCTTGGAGAGACTAAACAAGCTCAGATCTTCATCAGCTGGAACAGTTATAGGGGAGAAATACGGCCAGTAATAGGCGTAATCATGGATTGTTTTGACATTAGGACCTTCAAGAACAGCTGTTTTCGGCTTGCCATCTGGATTATTTGGAGATGTCACTATCTCTATTACTTGTTTGGTATTATCATTGCGCTCGCTATTCTTCCACGCAAACGCATCTCCTTCAAACTTGAGATGTGATGAATCAAAGAACTCCGCTTGGTCTTTGTACAGCTACACAAACAGGCTGGTCAAAACAACCAATATGTTTGTTAAAATAAAGCAACAAGAGTGCTTGCTTACATTGTAAAATGGAACAGAGGTCAAAAGCCTTGCTGGTGTTGATGATGACGAGTTTCTCAAAGACAAGGCATGAACAGCTGCTGCAAGCAATTGTGTGCTTCCAGTTCCAAATATTACAAATCTGTTATCTGTAACAGCGTTTCCCACCACACTGTGCAGTTTCCTAATCACTTTCACAAGCTCTTCCGAGATATATGTCCCATCTTGATAGATATAACTCATCCTATGCCATCCTGAGACCAGAGCCGCGCTACCCTCTGCTTGTTGCATCCAGAAAGGCTCTAAGAACAATGGGTCTCCTCTTGAAAACGCGTAAAAACAAAACAAAAATACACAAACTTAATGCAATAAAAAAGAAGAAGATTGGTTTGGTCATAATGACTGAAAGAAAGAAAAAAATCAAAAGTTATTTAGCGTACGAGTTAGCGTTCACAGGACAATCTGAGAGAAAGACAGAGCAATCTTTGCCTGTATAGCAATTGTTGCATTCACAAGGAGGTTCCTTGCCGTCAAGGACCCCAATACCGTCCACGTAAGCTCTGCCATGGCCTGAGCATGAAACAGAGGCTGCATCCTCTGCTTCTGTAGCTGCTCTACTGGTCCAAGTCGGATTCCATGTGGTTGAGTTTCTATAAATAACATGGATGGTGAATGCAAGATTCAAGATGATCGATACTGTAAGAAGCAGCTTCATCTCCATAGACTTAAACTTGTAAAAACTAACGACTAGAGATTTCAGATTACTGATAAATATCAAATATCAGTACCACGGATACAAAACAATTAACACTTGATGGTGGTATTATACCACTGGTATATCAAAAATATCAGTACCAAGGATCCAAAACAATTAACACGTGAGCATGCCATATATCAGTACCAAGAATCCAAAACAATTAACACGTGAGTATACCAAATATCAGTACCAAGGATCCAAAACAAAAAATACGTGATGGTGGTATTATACCACTGGTATATCAAAAATATCAGTACCAAGAATCCAACACAATTAACACGTGATGGTGGTATACAAAATATCCGTACCAAGGATACAAAACACATGATAGTGGTATAGTGGTAGACGGGCTTCAGAATGCTAAGCAAACAGGATGAAAATGCATCCTACTACACCCCATGATGTGACCATGCGGATATGTACCATTAATTAGGACAAATTTAAATACCCAGAAAGAGAATACATCTGTTGTATTGGACACTCCAAATCAATCAAAAACTGATAGAAAACAAAGGTTAAATACTATGAGTTTCTAATAAGAATGATGGTTTAGCTTGTTGTTAGTTTAGTCGAGCGGTCGGATTGGATCTACTGCCTAAAGAGAAAATGAGAAATTAATTAGGAGTATACAGAGCGGAATTAATAAGTTATAAAATATGTTAATCTTTAGTTGTGTATAATATTAATACATTTTCATGTTTAGTAATATGATCGTTTAATCTAAAATTTTATAATTATGACGTCAAATTTGTTAGTTACATATGATAAAAAAAACTTCAAATGATTTTAACATATTTTTAATGTAATTGCTTGTTTAAGGTTTAATAATCAGTCAATTGCTTGTTTTACTTCATGAAGTATACCACACACATGTGAGTATAGTCATCCAAGAATAGCAAAAAAAATTGGCTTCCATCAATAGTCTGGTGCTGCATCGGTCCAGTATGTACTATCTCAAGCTTTTCACTTGTCTTAGTTTGAGAGTTTTTTGGGAAGATTTTACATGATTACTTTCCAAGTCTACACGCCTCACATGCTCACTTCCTAACTTTAAAATTTGGTAACTCCTGTACCAAGCCTTTGTCTTGCATTTGTTGCAACCTTTTCTTCCCTACATGACCAAGTCTCTTGTGCCATGTCTCCATTTTTCCTTGATCACTTGCACTCATGGCTTCTTCTTCCTTAGCTAAATTCATCCTGATTCTGTAGCTCTTGTGAGTCATTGGGATATTCATTATCCTCCTTCTTTTTGCATCCTCCATGATGCATCTCTTCTCTTGGAAATTCACCCGGTATCCACTTGAAACAATTTGTGGAACACTCAACAATTTTTTCGCCAAACCCGGAACCAAGAGTACATTCCTGATGCACTACAAGAAAACTCGTCCTTTACTAAGACGACTTTTCCTCGTTATTTCCTAGTAAATGACCATTACTAGGAACTTACGAGGAAACGCGTTTCGTCAAAACACGTTCATCGTAAAGCCTTTTTCCTCGTAAGGTCCTAGCTAATTTACGAGGAAACTTTTCCTCGTAAACGCGTGGATACGTTTTTCCTCGTAAGGTCCTCGTACAAGTTTCCTCGTAAAGTCATAGTAACATATTTCCTCGTAAGCTCGTCGTAATGCTTTACAAGGAACTTACTTCGAAAGTTTACGAAGACTTTACTTCGAAAAGATTACGAGGATTTTACTTTGAAACTTTTTTTCCCTATTAAAAAAATTTTAATTTTAATTATAAATATAAATAATATATTTTAAAAAATTAAATAAACCAAATTATAAATAAAAAAGAAATAACAAAATATTTTATAAATAACTAAATAATATACAATTAAGTTTTAAAATTTATAGTATAAAATTAAAAAAAAACTACAGATGTTGGTCGTTAAATTGCCGAACGAAGTCATCCCGGCTCGCCAACTCCTCCTCAGCAAGGTTGGTTGTCGGCTGTGACTGTGACGGTGGATGCTGTTGGGTTGGAAGCCCTCCGCTTTCCCGTCTCACACGCAACATCTCCGCCAATTGCGGGTTTCCAACCGCCAAAATGTCCAGGACATTGGTGAGAGAACTCACATGAGACTGCGTCGCCTGCAACTCCGGGCGCAGCTACGCATTGACATCGTGTTGTTCGTGGGCATAAGACGATGTCTCTGTGGGGATATCGTTAACGGAGCCAATCCCGACGATACGCCCCTTTTTCGTAGGGGCGACCTGTAAATAAAAAGATTAATAATGTCAAAAAAAAATTAAATAAATAATAAAAATTAATAGAAAATAAATTATTTACCTCCTCGTAAATCTTATCCACTTCAAGAGTGGATAATATGACTTGTGTCCCAGTCAGCTGAGTGAGCTGGGTCTGGCGTTCGTCAACCTGGGCAACAACCTCGTTGTAGATCCGCTCGGATCTAGGATCTACAAACTGCCCAGCCTTGTTCCGGTGGGTCCTCTCGTAAAGGTCTTTCAGAGATGAAAGAACTCCTGTCTCTTTAGCCTAAAAATAATTTTTAAAATATTAATTTGGAATATTCAAATAGAGTAAAAATTAAATAGTTATTAAAAATCATCTTACCATGTCTAGACGAACTCCCCCGTGAGGTTTTCGACCCGTGGTGTGAAGCATCTTCGTGTTGCCATGCTCGTCTCTTGTCATGCGGTTCTTGGAGTTTGTGTGGTAGGTTCTGACAGAGTCCGGCAACCCCCAATATCTGATGAGGCCATCCCACACGTCGAATGTGAGGCAATCGGGTTTCCCCTCCTCGTAACCATCCACGTGAACAAAAAATAATTAGAAGTAAAGTCAATAAATAATTTAAAACTATATATATATATATATATATATATATATATATATATATATATATATATATATATAATTTATAAATCCACACCTGAAAGTCGCCCTTCCAGTTGTAGACCATGTCGAGCAATCGTGCTCTTGCCTTCGCCTCAAACTTCGTCTTCACCCGCTGGTGTATCCCTATAGACCAACGATATTTTTGCTGTAACCAGAAAAAATAAGAGACGGATTAGTTCAATAATATTAAAAATTTTAAATAATTAAAAATAAATTAAGTTGATTAATTAAACTTACAGAGAACGATTTGAACCACGTCTTTTTGTGTGGTTGAGCGTCTTCTTCCAGTTTGGAGCTGCATCGGGAAAGTATCCCTTGATACAATCCGTGACGCTCTGAGCGACACATCCGTCAAGACTAAACCTGGAAAGACACAAAATAAAACATTAATTAGATTAATTTGTAAATATTTTATTAATTAAGAAATAAATTAAAAACGCTTATTAAAAATTAAAACATATCATAATATGTTGTGGCCGTCCCGTCGGATATGATCTAACTCAGGCAGCCCTTCTCTTCCTGGAAGGGCCATAATATCCTCCATCGTGTACACCGCAAATGGTGCGTTTGGCGGAACCTGCAAATCGGGATGAACCATGGCGCCGGGAGGAGGAGGAGGAGGAGGAGGTGGAGGAGGAGGAGGTGGTTGGTCAGACCGGGACGCCGTAGAAACTCCCTGAGTCTCGGGAACAGACGAAGATGATGCGCCTGGGTGACGACCGAAAAGATCTCCGTAGTGACTCCCCTGAAGAGGCCTCTTAGCCTTAGCAAGCTTGTTCTGTCTAGGCATCTAAATTTCTTTTATAAAAAAATCAAAACATTAATTCCCGTATAATTAAAAAAACAGTTAAAAAGGGTAAGCCAACCTAATCTAAATTACCTAAACTAAACACCTAATCTAAATTCTCTAAACTAACCACCTAATCTAAATTCCCTAATCTAATCACCTAACTAGGAAATAGAGAGAACCTTTAGAGGATCCAGAGAGAAGCTTACTACAAATGAGAGAAATTGGATGGCTCGAGTTTATATAGGGAATTTTGTTTCCTCGTAAGGCCCTAGTAAGTTTATGAGGCCTTTACGAGGAAATAGCTATGTCCGTGTTTTTATTTCCTCGTAAATTCCTAGTAAAAGTATTACTAGTACTTAACGAGGAAACAGCCTTTACGAGGAAATAGCTATGCCCGCGTTTATTTCCTCGTAAAGTCCTAGTAATACCGTTACTAGGACTTTACGAGGAAACAGTCTTTACGAGGAAACAGCTATGCCCGCGTTTTCTGTTACTAGGGATTTACGAGGAAAGGGTTTGTAAATCCCTAAACTCGAAACCCCAAACCCCAAACCACAACTTCCTTAACTTATAACCTCTTCTTTAACCAAACTCCTAACCTAAACTACACATAAACCCCAAATGCAATTTAATTTTGTGATTAAACAAACTTAAAACATATATAATTCAAATTCATTTTTGTGATTAACCAAACTTATAAACGTACATAATTCATTCGGATACATTCTCGTAATATGTTGAAACATCATCATTTTCGTAAAACTCGTCCTCTACACCTTCATCCGTCGAGTGATCAGGAACATCTTCGTATTCACGATTATGCGGATCAATGAGTAGGTTTCTCGATCTCATTGGTGTTTTCTTCTTGTAATGGTGGTTCTTCTCCAGCGATTATTCGTCCTCGAGGTGCAATTTTGATAACAGGTAACCAGTTTATTCCCGAGGTAGTAATCCGAGGGTATGAAATGAAGCAAACTTGATCTGCTTGGGAAGCTAATATGAAAGCCTCGAACTTGTTGTACCTACAAAAATAAAGATCGACGAAAAAATTAATTAATACTCGAAATCCGGATATAAAAAAAAAAGAATTTGTTGTACCTTCGTCCACCATTGACATCAACTACACCGTTCTTGTTAATCCGAACACCTCTGTTGATGAAGGGGTCGTACCACCCACACTTGAAGATAACGCATTTCAAACTCATACCTGAGAAATTGAACTTCATAAATCTCCTACAAGATCCCGTAGAAATTTGTTTCGCCTTTCACACATATTCCATTATTACTTTTTACCCGGTGTCTACCATAGTCATAG